TATCTTGATAATGCTATTGATATCAATTTTAATATCATATATTTAAGAGTAAAATGAGTGATATAAAGAATGTTTGATATTAATGAGAAACATTCAATTAAAGTAAATATTCAATATTTTTATGATTTTATTTGATTTAAATTACATAAATTTTAATAAATATTTATGATTTAAGAAAGATAGAAGATAGAAGATATTTGAACAAATTCAATATGAGGAAAATGATATAAAAATAAATGTTGAAATAAATGTTCAAATGAATATTGTATAAAATATATGATAAATTACATGTGACATTTTACTGCTATTATAGATAGAAACAGAAATATATTTATAACAATTTTTTTCAGAAAAAAATGTGTTCAAATGTACATGTCGCATGTATTTTTGATTAATTATTATATATATATATATATAGCAAATTAAGCATTTATATAAATACATATATAATTTATTATAGTTTAAAGAATTATAAGTAACTTTTAAGAGTATATATTATCTTTAAAATATATCAAAATATACATATGTAGATATTCAATTTTCATTAAATAATTCAGAATATTTATCTATATAATGCTTAATACACTTTAATTATTTCAAGCTATCAAATTTATATATAGAAGGCAATAAACTTCTTTTAAGCATACCTCAATTTAGTTAAAATAACATGTTTAATTTTGAAAGTAGAAATGAAAAAAAAGTTATTACATATAATGTATTATACGTATTATAATATTAGTTAAAAACAATAAGTTAAATTATGATGATGATTGTATATGATCTTGATTCATTGCATACATGTATAGTAAAATTATCAATAAATATTTAAATTATATTAAAAATATACAATATACAAATAATTTTTAATAAAATTAATATTTAATTAGTTTTTATAAAATTAAATGTATTATTTTATAATTATTAATTAATTATTTATTAAATTAGAATTATAAACAATTTAATTTAATTTAAGTTACTATATAAAATATATCTTAATATTTTTTATATCTAAATTTTTTAAATTTCATTTTTATATGTATAGCAGTTTGTTATTTTGACAGTTCATATATATTTACAGAATATTAGTATATTAATATTAATATTAATATATTCGAAAGACTTTGAAAAATCGATTTCAGAAATCAAAACAAATATAAAAACATAAATAAAAAATATATAAAATGTTGCTTGAAACTTATTTATTAAATTATAAACAAGTTAAATTTTTGTTGATGAAACAAAACAGAGATAGAACTATCTCATTTTCCATCAGACTTTTATCTAAAGTAAATTTGAATTATTTATAATTTAATAATATATTTTTGTATATTAACTTTTGTATTTATTTTAGATATTGATATTCTATTTAATCAAATATATTAACATTTTATATTTAAGTGGTAAATTAAAATTTGCAATTTTTTTATAGAGTTTATATTTTTTATATTTTCAAATAGTAAAAAATCCAATTACAAAGACTTCAAATGTTTAATGAAAATATATAAAAAATTTTTTTTAAATTATATTGTATATATAATTTATATGTAACATTTGAATGAAATAATTAATTTATATATGAATAAAAAAATTTTAATAATTTTAACAATTAATTAATTCTAATAAAATATCAAAAGAAATAATGATTAATGATATTTTTAATGATTATAATTAATTTAATTATTTAATAATTTAGAATATCTATATAATAAATGATGCTGTTAATTACTTATTTTTTTTTAGCATTTTCATTTATTTAATGAATAAATTGTTGAAAGAACTTGATTCCTCTTGTCTGATTTTAATAGCTGTATATATTATAAAATTATTTTGCATATCATTTTTCTTTACAGCCTTAATTTTCAAGTTACTTGAAAAAAAATGTTCAGTATTATATATTAAATTCTGCTCATAAAAATGCGTTCATAGCAACACATGTGACAATTTCATCGCTTCTCAATTGTTTATATAAAGTGTCTTCGAAATTACGATACGAAGCAAACAAATATTTCACGTGTTTTTTATATGTTAAATGTTTTATGATAAATTTTACAAACATCAAGTTAAAATATTTTTTAAGATTTTAAAGATTTTTTGACATAAATAGTTTAGTCGTTTTTAAAAAATAACGAATTGTATCAACTAATGCAATGAAAATTATATGGTTCTAAAAAAAAAATTGAAGTAAATTTTTTTATGATTTTTATAATAGAGAAAAAAATTTTTATTATAGAGAAATTAATATTATATATAATGTATTAATTACATATATATAATTAATATTATATATTGTATTCTTTATACCAAATAATTTCTATAAAAATATTTTTTTCATAATATTTTTTCCTTAGATATTTCATTAATTAATTAGATGAAATGAGATAGAATGAAATAGTTCTATTATAGTTATACGTTGCACTGTTTTGTCTTTATTTTGTTTTATTTAATACAAACTTCAATTGTTTATAATTTAAATAAGATATTAAATAAGATATTTTTGTATATTTCAATTATTCTAAAATCTTCTCATGTTATAAATATATCAACATTCTGTATATACTGTATATACTGTATATACTGTATATACATTCTGTATAAAAAAGATCTCATTCAAAAACATAAAAAAATAAATTTTCGATGAATTTATTTCTGGGCTATTCTATATTGGTTTATATAAATCAATTATTCGAAAAACTATGATCTACCAGCTAAATCCGACTTTTTGTCCAAAGGAATTCCAAGTTGGTTTTCTTTTTATTATACTGTATTTTGTTTTTGTTTTGTTTTATTTAATATAAATTTAAATTTAATAAATAAGCTTCAATATT